AATGTTTGAGAAAATTTCGGAAGGTTTTATAATGCAGACGACTGAAGAACGACATTAAGAAAAAGATCACCGTGCAATATCGACGAGTGCGCTTATACAAATAATTGTGCATAATGGATTACCTGTGCAGCAGAGCCATCAGTATGGCAATAGGGCTAGCGGTGGAGACACACAATATAAAATGTAATAAAAATATGCGATAAAAGATAGCATTGTAAATGAAAGAGATTAACCGTTGCGCATAGTACGTGTCACGTTTAAACGAATGACATTATAAAATGTTAATATACTTTATATATACTATATGTTTGTATACTAATAGTATGCAAGATCACCACTGCTCTGTATTATTTGCTTCTATAATCTTTGCCTGCCTCTTTTGTTCTTTCTACTTCTTTTTCGTCGTCGTCATCATCTTCTTCTTTATCTCTTTTCTCCTCCTTCTTCTTCTTCCTCTTCGTCTACTTCTTCGCCACGTCCTCTTCCTCCTTCTCTTCCACCTCTCTCTCCTTCCATTTCTATTTCTGCTTTTCTCTCTCTACTTTTTATTTCCGTTGATTTTCGTGCGATGGCGTAATTTTGTTATTCCGCTTCCTTTGTGACAGCAGCTCCTTCTCGATTAGCATTCAACGATGGATTTCGTTCGCGACACGACTATGCGAGTAAACGGCGAGGGAAAAGTAATATATGGCAACGATTTTACAATATGGAATAAGACGCGTTATTAGATAATCGGTGCGTGAAAAAAACCGCGCGTGCTTGCTTGTGCATTGCAGTGCGTTGTCAATATTTCCACTATAAAAGTGTCCGCGCATCCGAGGAACATGCATCCATGAATTTCACTCACGCGAGCCACTTACCTTTGATACTCTTCTTTATGCATCGCACCTCTTTTGTCGAAACCATCGGTGACCAAAGCGTCCAACACGAGGGACTGCACCAATCTTTTGTCGCCTGTCGAGAATTAATCGATTAGTCAGTGACGAATCCGATTTTTATGCCAGAAATACAGACGTATGTACGTTATAGTAAAGATAATTACAATAATAAGCATCCTTGTCGGCTTTGCTCGCTTGCTTATGGTGCGAGCTCGGATTCCTTGGTCTCAAGGACATCCATTTCCACCCCGGGACCAACGCTCGAGCCAGAAAATGGAGAACGCGTTTCTCGGGAGAGGGGAACCACTTTTCGGAAGCCGAACTATATTCACAGTACACCCAGTCGGGATGCACTTTCCAATTGTTTCCCTTAAAATACTCGGTTACTGAGAACGCGAAATATGTCCAAGGTTGTTATTTCTTCCATGAAACAGCCGTATGAACCGCGAAAAGTTTGTTTAAACAATTCGTCACTTACCATTTATTATAGCGCGTTTGATTTCGTGTTCGGCTAACAATTCAAACATGCCGTAACCCTCGGGCAACGCTAATCCCAATGAAAACGGCGTTCCTTCTATCGCTTTATAAAAATAATTGTGACGTCTAATGGTGACTCGTCTCTGTATGTGTGTGTGTGTGCACGCGCGTACCGGAAAAAATAAAAACGTTTACGTTAAACAACGAGAATAACACGTGTTTATTCTCATAATTAGTAACAATAATTAATAACACTTTTATCAACATGTTGTCAGTAGAGACGACAATACGTGTTTAGAAATGATTTATAAGGTAATGTGCGAAAGCAAAGAAGAAGCAATAACCGATATTTCCAATACACCACGCTTATACTGACCATATCATCGTAATGAATTTTGATTGCAAAGTCAGTCTCGCCTTCCTTTTGGTCGATCATATCGTGCCTTAACTGCAACATAAAGAAGAAGGGAGAGAGGAAATGGATACCTCAGATACATGTATAGCGTTGAATATGAGATAGATATAAGTAGATCGAGAAGAACTTACATCGAGAAGAAGGGAATTGTTCAACGGATGCGACGGTCCATCGTACTCTGCGAGTTCGACTTCCGACAAGTCTACACTAATATACGTAGGTTTTAACGTTTCCTCGTACTAAAACGAAACAACAACAACAACATGAACAATGTTACAATTGACTCGTGTTTCCATTGCTAAATTTACATTACGCGAAAAAGTCAAATTTGCTATAATTTGTATGCTCTTTGTTTTACTTACGTCCGTGTTCCCTGGCTGCAGCGATAAAAGGAGAAAATAACAATGTCACTGAACATTGAGAGAACGCAGCAATAGCTGAACAGAAATCGCTTTGAATAAAGCCTCCTGTTGAATGCATTTCTCGAAAATTACTCACCAAAGGTCGTAAATCCGGATGATACAGAACACGACCATTATTATCGACGATAAAGGAGTACCCGTTGACACCTAACTGGAAATGGATAAAATCGATGATTTTACCAAAAACATGTCTTTGTCACGTTCTTCTTTACGCATGCGCCTACCTTGTAAGGGGGGACCAATTTCTGAATCTCTTCCACGGGTACATCGGTACCCACGATACCCAATAAATTGGCTGTTTTTACCTGTGAACGAAAGAGAGACAGAAAAAATGTAGAGACGTAAATATGCATAAAAAACGAAATTTTCAGAGATATCGTGATTGTAACTGTTGTGTACATCATCGTCTTTTTATATGATGGCTTAATGATCGCCATCGACGAATGAATATGTGACAAATGATGAGTGAAATGTGTGATAATTATAGGCAGTTAGGTAGACGTGAAGAGAAAAAGAATAGGCAAGAGATTACAATACACATTACCGTATAGTTTCGACGATCTAGAATGGGCGCGGTAACCGATGTCATTAGCTGTCCAATGTTCTCCTTACCATATCGTCCGCTCTGGGAAAAGATGAAAAAATTTCGGTGGATCTATGTATCAGTTTTCGGTGTACTATGTATGCAGGGGTACATACCATATGTATAAAAGTGTGATCATATGAAACACATACCTTTCCACCAACGTAAACTGGACTCCAATGAATAGGATGATCATGTTGATACAGTACCATAGGCCGAGCGAGCACTTTTACATATTCGAAAACTTTACTCTTGATGTCTTCTAATTCGGTAATTCTCGCATAAAATCCTGTGAAAAATGGAAAAATCACGATCGAACATGCAGATGATCTCTGGTTAGAAAAATTTGTGCGATTGAAAAAATTTACGAAGACGGAAATACATACCTTTGTTCGCGCATGCTGTATTACGCAATTCGGGACTTTTATCACCTCCGATGAGATAGGTAAAAATACGAACGGGCATATGAGGCCAATTATATCGCTTGATTACATCTGTAGGTAAGCCAGTATTATCGGAGGTAATTATCATAATTGCTTGATTGCACTGACTTCCTTGACCTGTTCTATTATATCTGTGAAGAATTTCAAAAGCTGCTCCGAGAGCAGCCGATATATTCGTCGGCGTTTCTTCGTGCTTCATCGAACTCGCTGCTACTTTTAATTCTTGTATATTTTCTGGCGATGCTTGAATCAAACTGTCTTTAAAGCATTGAACGATCTCTTCCGCGGTGTCTCCGTAACGATAAACGTTAATGTAATCATCGGGACCTAGAGTGTCGAGTATAGTTCGAACGGTGGTTGTGGCCAGACGTTTATTCCTCTCGGAAGCATAACACTCGATATCAACTAATATTGCCAAGTCTTTTGGGCTATTCGCAGCACCAACAAACCAATTGGAAATTCGAAAATCGTATACGTCTCGAACAACTCGATTCGAATTTTTGTTTGTGCTGGGTGTTCGTTCTTCCATCGGTGGCCAGGAAATTGCTGCAAGAAGAAAATAGGTGTCGTTGAATAACAAGTAGATAATGTGGTGTTGGTGTTAACGAACCTAGACTCCGATGAAATAGAAAAGAAACGTGTTTTTGTAAAAAATACAATTTGTTTGTAATACCAGGAAAACGTCTTAAGAATCCCGAAGTCGCTCCGTAGTATTGCCAGGAAAGTGATGGATCGCTTTCGTAATTGTTAACGAACAATAAATCCAAGTATTCGCTCCATTGAATACCGGCAGCTACTTCACGATCTGGAAGAAAATATGCCGAACCGTATTAAACTGGTCTTCTCGCTTACCTTACTGTTATAATCAAGAGAGAGAGAGAGAGAGAGAGAGAGAGAGAGAGAGAGAGAGAGAGAGAGAGAGAGAGAGAAAGAGAGAGAGAGAGAGAGAGAGAGAGAGAGAGAGAGAGAGAGAGAGAGAGAGAGAACTATGAAGGGAGATCGTGTTCACCAACACTCACCGTCGTCTTTGACACCAACAGGTAACAAAACCGTTGAAAGAGTAACGTTGACAGCTAAATGATCAAAGTGTCGATTAGAAGAGAGGAAAGTATCTTGACCGGCCCCGCCTGATGCTTTTCCATCTCCGGCAGAAGCGTCAAAACGCTGGGAAGCGTAGTATTTCGGAGATACATTACCATCTCTTGGTGCCGACACTGCTGCCTGTTCGGCGCTCTCTACCAATCTCTGTAATCGTTAGTTAGATTAGGTTAATTACGTCTCAATAACATGGAATTAAACAAAATGTCCAGCAACACACATAACAAGTCTCACCATAACGGCGTTCATTTTAAAATCCAACATATTCTTTACTTCTGCGACCATTTCTCGCACTAAGACGAGACCATCCTTTCTGACAATTTCAGCCTCCATTTCGTGATATTTCTGAAATCAAAACACGAAAACTGCATATACTCTGTTATCCTCTTCCTTAAAATTTCACTTATATCACTTTACGAGATTCTTCTCCCAAGAATCGATAATATCGACGACTTTTATTCGAATGAAAAATACACGTAAAGCAGCACTACCATAATTTTTAATATCACCTATTTACGTACTATGTATGTAGATCAACACCATATCGAGACTATTCGAATGAATAATAGAACGTGTAAGTCTAAGAGAGAAGAGTTTCTAAAGTTCTAAAATATATAAAATCTAAGTTCTAAATTCAATTGGTAATTCAAGATTAAATAATCAACTTTGATTGCCGCTCTGGACGAGCTCCCCTCCCCGAACATCGTCAGACTTTTCTTTTGTTTATGCCCGTACAGCGGCTAAGATAAAACACGTTAATACGCAAAAGTTTCGTTTCATCGGTGAAACCGAGACTCCAATACTATACACCACTGTTGAACAGAAGTTATTTCATCAAAAATTTCATCCGGTATTCGTTATTCGAATAAATTGTTATTCCAGCACTGCTATATTTACATTTTCGGCGAAGCCAAAAGCCGTACACGCAGTTCAACTGTCTTACCTTTTTACGAATAGTTTCCTTACCCTTTGTATTTCGCTCATTTTCGTAACTTGTTTGCCAAACTCCCATAGATCTACGCCAAATTTCAAGGCCCAGTTTTTTACTCTGCAAAACAATAAGAACAATATGTATTTATCGGTCAAATTGAAACTTGCTGATGAAACACAGTCCGCCTATTTTCCATTCTATACTTTCCACAATACATTTGAATCGAAGGAAAACGTTAAAAATTACACGTACGTGCACACGTTCTAAAGATTCATTGCAAGGGTAAACCCCATTGGAACGTGTATTTAATCGATTAGGAATGTTCGTATTCATACATCAATGCTGAATGATAAAAAGAAACATCAATGAACGAGTAAAAAGAGAAATCACCGAAATCAATGTTTTTTGCCTGGGATTACACTGGGTGTAAGCTAAATTAGTTTAACGGAACATGCGACAAACACTGTACAACGTCGTTCGTCGAACCAAAATCGAAGATTGTTCTGCCCGTAATCAGTTTCTACATATCATATAACATACGTTTAAGTGAGTACCATTGATGCATTCGTATATACGTACATGCTCACGTGCGCACGCACGTAGCTACGTTACGCATACACGCCGATTCTAATCCTCGTTAATCGACTGTGTACGCGTAACTTTACACGCGCCTGCGTTCTTTTTCATTCTCGTTGATTTCCTTTGAATCGTTGAAACCACTAGTTATTCCTGTTTTAATAGACAGGAATGAAACGTCTTGATATCTTAATATCGAATTGTATGGATTTAGACATACTTGTAGATATTACACTTTGGTGGTTCCTCTTTTGCCCCTCCCTTTCTATGGCCTACTATTATAGATAAAAGAATTGTATTTACATCTGCTCGTACATTAGTACAGAATTATTCGAATTTTCTTCTGGTCTTCATGAATTTTCTAGACTTGACTGAATCAATTGAATGGACTATTTCCCTGTACGTACGTACAGATACTTACATATGATTCACAGGCTGAATTTCGCTTATTAAACTGACATGGAACCGTCAGACGACTGTTCCCTAAATTTACGAAGTTCTTCGATACCTTTCGCAAAATATCCACGCCCTTTCAACACCCAGTATTTGACCTGCTTCGTCGAAGCAACAACCCCCCCTGATTATTCTATGATTCTACTGATTGGTTGATCAATTATCAATTGTAATGGACGTGCAATAGGAAAAGAAGCCGTAAAAGTTCTTACTCGTTGTGAGGTATATCCTCTTCTTGTTGATAACTCGATCTGATCCATAACAGCAACAACACTCCATAGTGCACAAGTTTTTTGACGGACAGAAACAACATTATTTCGACGCTAACGATGGACAGCCGAATACGAGTGAATGATGAAACGAACGAACGAACCAATCTTTTAAGGAAAACGTACACGTTAATTCGAAGTAACTTCTCGAAAAGAATTAGTCTTACCGCTCCCTCGTAGTAGCGATCGATCGGCCGAAACACGCGAGTCAGCGTTACGTGCGTGAATTTACCGTTTTGATGGAATCTTGTTTATCCGTATACATGTATATTCGATACTGAACACAACTTTGTAACGCTTGTATACGCTAGTACGTAGAAGCTTGCACGTATCATTCTTCGCCTTCTTTTATCTTCTTCTCTGAACGTACTCTTCGCACCAGACGATCCAAACTACACGCTAATCACACAGCTGCCAAACGAAAAAAGCTCCTTCCATTTCTCAGTACGTTTTTCGATACTGTGTCCGACGTTTCCTTGTGGCGAACACTTGAACTCTTATTCGTACGTCTATCGTTAACCGATCATATTTTGCTCCTCTATCTTTAAATTCCAAATTGAGTCGTTGTTTCAACGTCGTCGTCGATGAGAACAATAACAATCACTAGTCGACAATAACGACGACAATAACAAAAACGGAGCGACGACGGCAACGATGAAGACGATGATGATAACGCTGATGATGACGATGACGATGACGACGACGACGACGACAATGAAGAGATCGAGAACACAGATGAAGACGAGGACGAGGACAAGCACGATAAAAATGATGACGATGACGAGAGGAGGTATAATACAATCGAAAGGAGGCGAAAACTCGTGAAGAAAAGCAGTAACTAATCAGCGTAAATTGAAAAACACGTAATAATTCACCTCCAACGCGCAGTTTTTCTTCGTAAACATTTTTCAGAACATGACACGAGCTTCTCTAACGATCGAATCATCTCAAAGACAAAACTGTCTTCAACGTACACACGTATATGAACACCCGATCGACCGATCGCCCGAAGGACCGAACGACTAACCAACCAAGAGACAAACGAAAAAAACGATCCTACGTCAGACCAGCCCCGGGATAGTGTGTAGAACGTTGTTTCTCTTTATTATCGTATCTTTTCGAGGCGTACGTATATTTTCCTTTTCACGAATAAATGAGACATCGTTCGATGCGCTGTCGACACGATTCGTTTGTGCGATTCACGATTGCACCACCGATTACCGCCTTGTCGCGCGATCTCTCAAGTATGTTCACACCGTAACGCGCAGAGAACCCGAAAGAATGAAGGACGAGGGTGGGATAAGAGAGTAGTGTGCAGAGAGAAGGAGAAAGAGATAGAGTGGCGGGGGTGTGTGGTCTGGGGTGTTGGGTGCGAGGGACGGTTGGGGGTGGTTGCGCGAAGCAAAGAAGGGGAATGCAGAGGAGATGGAAAAAAGAAAAAATTATAGAAAAATCGAGTGTTTGCATGCGGTGCGAGCGCGCGAGATCACGAGATATTCGATACGCGAAATATTGCGATGCGACGAAGCTTTACGTTCTATCCCGAATAAGAATACCCATTACAAGCGAGACGACGGTTCCGTTTTGATAGCACTTTCTCATGAAAATCGGGCAAAGATGGTGTACACGAGCCGCTTTATGCCCGAACCAAAGGTAGCTGGTTGGTCGGCTGGCGCGCGCGCATTACTCTTACTACGTCTACTACGTTGCCCGTCCGTTTTAGGAGAGTAACGCTATTCTACGAGTGTGAGCGTCTGTACTCACTACCAACCCCTCTCCCCACTGCCACACTCAATTCCGACCACCATCGCCCGCCCCTCCTCTCTGGAAACGATAGGAAAATGAGAATGTAGGCAGTCGTCCAACACCAGCTAATGGTAATGGTAGTAGTGCTGTTGGTGACAACGGCTGGCTGCGCGCGGTGATGATGCCGAGACGAAGTGCAGTAGGAAGAGCTGGCGATGATGGTAGAGCAGCTCTGGTGATGTCAATGGTGGTAGGTTGTGTGGTAGTAGCTAGTGCTGGTGGTGGTGCTGCTGCTGCTGCAACGATGAGAGCAGCGGCAACGACGGCGTTCGAGATGAAACGGAACTAGGGGAAGAGCAGCTTAGATTGACGACACCGAGGTAGGGGAGGTAGAAGGTAGGAGGTGAAGGTTTCAAGATATGGAAACGAACAGAGACGATGCGTGGGAACAGAGATAGGTAGCAGCATCGAGAAGGAGCTCTTTCTCTCTTGGAACGACCGAAAACGAACGAACAGGGACAAGTTTAGGATAGGGGGAAGAGAGCGAGATACTCACGACCTCACACCATAAAGGAGAGATGCTTGCAACCGGCCGCGCAAGCTCAGCATCATTGATTTAACGCGTATCTATACTTTCACAAAGCAAAGTCAACTTCCTAGTTTCTAAGGATTCCGGAAGCTCGGCGTTCTTCTACCCTTTCCACTCCAACTTTCCGCTCCCTCCCCCCTTCACTTCTAATCGCATAAACATTTCGCATCATTTTGAAACGGTAGTAGTCATTTCTTTCGCGATAAACCATTACATACATAACGTTTAACGGAAAATTAATCGATGATGATGACCACCCACATGTACCGTATCGAGTTAATTTCATCGAATCCATTACCGTAGGAAAGGCTGCCTTTGAAAAATTTATTCGAAATGATTCGAGGACGAATCTTTCGGAACTTCTACCACAATTCAAAAACGACCAAACTGTGAGAATTGTAACAACTTTTATTTTTTTAATTTAGTTTAGTCGAAGCTAATGTAAAAAAAAGCTGTATCGCCGTTGAAACATCCAAATTTTCAATCACTTATTATGTGTATTTCTCTCGTATTTTCTACATTTTGTTTATTTATTTAAAAAATTCATATATATATATATAGAATATCTCGAGTATAGCATATCTTAGCATAAAACATCCTTATTTGTAGAGTTTATAAACCTTAGTTGCTGTTACCGCTATTATTATTATTCTTATTCTTATTATTGTTGTTATTACTAGTATCATTATTATTATCATTATTACTATTATTAATACTACTGTCATTATTATAATCAGTACTACGATCGCTATCACCATCATTATCGTTACACGATTATAGAAAGTAGAAGTATACAAATATTTATTTTGGCTAAAAAGGAAAAGACTCATGTCACCCATAAGTTCCTAGAAAAAGAAGGAAAGAAAATCAACTATGCAGCTTGGTATATAATTTCGTTCACTCGCATATTAACAATAGGACGAAGCTCTTGTTGAGCATAATCCTCCGGCAATGGCAATTGGGACACCATCTGAAGTATGGACGTAGATCTACTCTCGTTCGATTGTAACAAACTTCTAGCTAAATGTAACGTTCTCTTAGCAATTTCCGCTTGGCAAAGTCTACGACAAAAAACCAAATCGGTGTGCATGTAACTGCCGAATGTAAGCATGGGCCTGCTGACCTTACTGTTTGCGTGCGTACGCGCGCGCAAAAATAAGTGTGTGATTAAAAGAGGGTCAAAAATTGAAAAACCACGAACGATTAAATTACCTGTGTTTAGCAGTTGGACATGGAAACTGATTAATCTTGGATGGAAGACTTGATAATCGCTGTTTCAGCGATTCTAATTTCGAACTTATTCCACGCGGATCGGCACCGTGCAATAACGATTCAATGTCCATAGTTATTTCCATATACTCCCAAAGTAATTGTCCTTGGTATGACCAACCGCTTACAGTGTTGCTACACTCCGAGGGAATCAACGGACGTAATAGATCGCGCAGATATTCGTAATTCTCTGGAGGGATAGAACGAAGGACAAGATAGTAAGAAGCTGTAACGCTTTTGTATTTCTTTTGAGTATTCATGTGAGAAACTGTACCATTTATTATAGCGTCTGCTGCTAAATGCTCGATGATAATTTCATGAGCCATGTTCCACTGTTCCGCTTGAATGAAATAAATAGCTGCTTTTCCATATCTGCAAGCAAACAAACGGATTATTTGACAAGAATTGAAACACTTTGAAAAACTTTTCTTTTCCTCTCATCCTTTTACAAATACATACCTGTAGACAATAAGATTACATGTAGACAATATTAATATATAATCGATGCACCAACCTTTTCGATACATAACTTTTGACAGCTTTGGCCTGGTGAATCCAAACGGAAGGTATACCCAGTTCCTCCCTCAAAAATTTTTCTCGTTCTATGTAGTCGGTGATATCGTCTATTTCGACATGACGTTGCAGTAAATGCATTACCGCAGTTTTCCTTTTTCCAGCATCCCTTAGATGTAACATGACGAATATAGCCCAATGCCAGAGTCCATATGCTTCTAGCTGTGTCGCGAAATTAACATGCGTTAAAGTAGCGACATGTTCCGAAAGATATGAATAACCCAAAGCTAAAAGTACTTGCTGCATCAGCCAGCTACGGTTGAATAAAATCATTTTAGATAAACGCAATGTCAATGGTCTATAATCCAATGGGTCGGCAGTATGTGTCGCTGGATTTAATAATTCTCCCATCGTATGGTTGCCAGTGCAAAATAATTTCAAAAGATGAAAACAGAGATCGTATATTGGTTTCTCATTGTTTACCACTTCAACCTCGTAATCGTCCCCTTTGTATTCAGGTTTAGGTATTGTTGTATACGTGTATGCTGTCTTATCCGTATCGAAAGACGTCTCGTAAAGCTCTAACGTGTCCCTTATCGAGGCAATTGGAGATGAAAAATACCTGCAATGCACATAGAGGCGGCGCGAAACGCACAACGTTCATATGACGCGAGAATACGCGAAATACTGTCTCGTTGATATAATAGAAAAGAAAAACAGTTAGGTTAAGAACAGAACAGAATAGAAAAGGAAAGAACAGAACTATGAACGTTACCACAGATGAACGGCCAGAGCTCTCTTCCAATCGAAGCCTTCGCAGACATTGATAAGACCATGTTTACTAGGCACAAGTGGTTCACCCGCTACCAATGCGAAAAGTTTTAATCGCTCCAGCGAAATGTTCTCGTCAACACCAGCATCTTGCCATAACGCGAGTTGTTGCTTTATCAAAACCTTTATAGGCATTCCACTGCGTAACTGTGCCATCAATGAAGCCAAACAATGATCGCCCATGTCTTGTGCAGTTTTACACGCTTCTTCTAATTCAAGAGCTTCGAGATTTCATACGAATTAGAGGAGAGCAGAAAACCAAAGAAAAAAGAAAAGAAAACATCATTTTCAACAGTCAAACGCGGAAGAATTCACTCGTAAAATGTACATACCAGATAGTAAAAGCAATATCTTTGTTTCGTTACTAATACTCGTGTCTTCCCACTCGAGCGTTTTTCGTATAACGTTTCTTAACCATTCCCCTATAGCTTCTCGCCGCGCTACCACGATAGTATGATCTTCTGGAGTTTCTAGAAAACAACAAAACGCATCAGCACACGTTTTATTTTCTGCGTCGCCACACGTATAACATCTACCTACATACGCACGCACGCACACATGCATACGTGCTCAAAAAGTACACACATAAGATTGAAAGAGAAAGAGCGATACGATAATATATTCGAAGGATTAAACGATCAATATGATAAATAATAATCTGGTGGTGTACCGATGAAAAAACATACCTGTGGCAACATTTACATCAGCCAGGGTCCCCCAAAGAGCCGCGCAAAGTTTCCAAACGTTGGCAACGTACGAGGCGTAACAATCTGTAGCGTATTGCTTCGCAAATTCTTCGGCTAAACTACAATGAGCATGTAAAGCCATGCTCGCTTTATTAATATCTATATCTACGTTAAAAACTGGACAGTCTCCTTCTTGGTTCATTATACAATGCGATAGTTGAATTTTCAAATGGCCCTCTATACTTTCCTTGAGTGGTGTTGATAAATAATGGAAAAGGAAAATGGAAATATTCGAAAATCCGTAATTCCAAAAGAAAGGTGTTATAAAAACAAATTGCTAAAATTTACCTCGAACGCTTGAACATCTGTCCCATTACCACCTAAAATTTGTATACGTTGAACTATTGCGGCAGATGTTGTATCTTCAGAGAAACGACCACACACATAAGATCCGATTTGTTCGAATGAACTATGTAATGGAACATCGCTAACTTGTTTTTGTGTACTCAATGTTAGTAATGTTAAACCGCGTCCCCAACTCGGTTTGAACATTCGTCCCATTTGTATGCCTAAATGAACCATATGAAAAAGCACATATTCATTTGCAATGTTAATTACGTAAATTCTTGGTAGATAAAAGCTTTACGATGAAGAAAAAAAGCAACTGTTCAGTTTACCGGTATCAGCAACGGAGCGAGATTCTAGCTTATGTATAATAGACTTTGATAATGGAATCACTTCGGAATGCCACTTAAGAATTGTAGTCACCGGAGTTATCGGAGGATCCGGAAAACCTTTTCCATATATCGACGATTTCGTAACAACCACGTCCATCGAACGTTTCAACTTGGGATCTGCTGCAATATAAATCCATGATTACTCGTTACTCGTTACACAAAATATGAGAAAACATTTATTTTCACCTGTTTGATAGGTTTGTCCGGTTTTACCTGTTATCGTCGAAAGAGCCGGTTCTTCGTATGAAACCGTTGGCATGCGATGAACAGTTAAATTTGATCGCAATATCGGACTGTAGGTTGACGACTCGTGTCTTTGATCTTCGTCAAATGTTTGAACAGTATCAATGAAACATCGCAATGATCCTTTATGTCCGGAAAGAAGTAGCGCTCGACTCGATTCTAGAAATATAGTTTTCAATTCACAAGTTTCAATAAGAAATTTCAGTAAGTATCGGTATTATATAGTTGCTGACAAACAATATTGTGTAAAAAATACATTTATGTTTTACCTTGATCATAAACCTCGTTGATCTCTTCGTCGCTACCATCGAAGAAGCTGGCTTTCATTAATTGCAGCTTATGGCTGTCAGTACCCAAAATACGAGCGTTATCACCAGTTGGGCTTATCGGTAACTGTTTTTCGCGATTATAGTCTCCTGAAAGAGAGTTTGATCGTATAGAACGGGGGGCAAACACAATCATCTTAATAACTGTCCAGTGTGTAGTACGTGTCACGTATGTACCTTGTTTTAATAATGGTAACTTGAAAAATCGAATTCCTGCATTCCCTGTTTTTGAATCATTGGTCGCGGTGGTGTCCTTGTTCTAATTGTACACGAAAAATGAAAATTCATCATATACAATACGCGTACGTCTAGCAACTAGTTTATATCATTTACCGGAACTTCCGATAGATCCACCACTAACTTGGTTGCAGATTTCTGTTGCGTTGCGGCGCACAATTTTAATCTTTTTGGGTCATTCACCGTAGGAACATTATTATCATCTTCGTCTGAATCGCTTAAACCGTACTTGGAGAAATGATCTACCTAAAAGAGCAATGTAAAGGTAACAAATATACAAGATTAAGGGAGAAGAAAATACATATTCATACTCGAAACACGATGAGAACCAAAATATGCTGTTGCTACCTTGCTTACGAGATTACCTTGAAAACCCAAGAACCAGTTTCAGGTCGATATTCGAGAAATCTAGTATCGTGTTTTGCCGATACTCTTCGTAATTTTTCTTCGTAATCCATCGCAGCCAGTCGACGGGGATCGGTAATCGGTTTGTGCAAAGACTTATCGTGCGGCCATACTCTATCTAAAGTAACTTGTGCTTTACGGTTTAATCCTTGCCCGACAGGCGGCTTTTCCTCGTCGTCGGGATAAATGATGACTTCTTTATGGCGAAAATGTACGATCTCGTCTAAATTCAGACCATATATATCAAATGATTCAGGGAAATACACGTTCCCATAGCCTTCGCGACCAACTGTGAAATTTGGTACAACGCACGTTTCTTCGCAAACATAATCGTCCAATTTATCGAGCGATGGAATTGTATAGTAACCTGCTCGCTTCAACATCACTTTTGCCGCATTTACCTTCCAATTCGAATTTTGTAACGTTGAAACGGAATTTTCATCCAACTCCTGGCTCGAGTCAGAATTCTGAGTTATAACATCCGGGCATGTTTTATCGGCCAGAGATGAAGTTTTTAAAGATGTATCCGCAGAACTGTTCATTTCAGAGCAAATCTGATTCGATGGATTGGCATTAGTATGATAAGGCCGCAATTCGGTAACGGTATTATTTATCACTTCTCCGGACGATGATGCGTTCGGACTGGTGAACAGCGAACGTTCACTCTCGAATGATTCTTCCTCGGAATTTTTAATCGCCGAATTGCGCGGAAGGCTCGTTTTCAACCAAGATGAAGATGATCTTCGATCGTTTGCTAATTGCCGATTATTATCTTGACTATGATTCTCTTTATCTACAGTTTCGATATTCGTATCTTCAATGTACGAATTCGTTACAATCGTCCGCTCTACTCCCTTAGCAGCAGGAGATTGTACATTTTTTTCCACGGTCTGCGAATTTTCGATGGGCCATGATATTATCGAGTTCGATATCGATTTTGGACGTAGCACTAAACGCTTTGCATTTGTACGAGGTTGAAATGCTTCTGAAAGTGGATCCTCTTCTTCGAGACCTTCAAACATTGACTTCTACAAAAATATTTTATATGTACATATATATTGTTCACATACAGCTTTATATCTAAATTAACTAACAAAATATTCAAATTACACCAAACATATTTACCTCCCAGATACTTTACCTTTGACAATTGTGCAGGCGTAACTACTTTGGCCTTAATTTTCGGAGACTTGTTATCAGTGGTAACCTTATATTGTGGACCATTCAATATTTTGGAAGGTGCATTCGCAGGTTTTAACAATTCTTCCGTTTTACCAGAAGCCTAAAAGTATACCGCCACATTATTTTAATAATATCAGATATTTCGACAGTTTCTTAAGAACGTTAGTATGCATTGTTGAAAAAGGATTTACAGGTAAAAGATTCTTCAATAACGGCGAATCACCGAATGGAGCAGACACCAAGGCCAAGATTTGTTGATGTACTGGTACTGTTCCCGAACTCTTTGCTTGATTAGTCGTATTCCTATAATGAGAAGATAAGAAGCAAAATTAGAGCACCTCTTTCATCGGTGATCAAAGAATAGTAAAATAAAAAAAAAAAAAAGATAGAAAAAAGTTTAACATGGATAATACCCAGCACCGAGCAATCCCATTCCAATACCCGTTCCTACGTTCGAATTGGTTCCAAAAGTTGAAGATCCAAACGATGCCGATGTATTGAAGGTTGCATTGTTTCCAGTGTTCCCGAATAAACCACCTGGTTTTTGTTGACCGAATAGAGTAGAACCACTACCCAATGTCAAACCAGTATTTGTACCTGTAAAAATAAATTTGCGCTTAACCTTGAACGAGGAGAAAAACATCATAGCATATTCGACGATATATTCGATATGTAATATGATATATTCGACAGTCACGGTAGTACTTAACAATTACCGAGTCCAGTTGAAGGTGCAGAAGTAGAACCAAAAGAGAATCCAGACGTTTGTCCTGCAGGTTTAAAAGATGTATTAAATAATGAAGGACCGGAATTTTGACCTGCAGTGAAACCTGTTGTAGTTCCAAAAGTGGATGCTGTAGTTGGTCCAAAACTCGGTGTTCCGAAACCTGTCGTTCCAGTTGATTTCGCACCAAATAAAGTTGTACCCGGATTACTAGATGGAGGTTGACCGAAGTTGCTGAAGCCAGTGCTAGACGATGTAGATGGTACATTGAACGCCGATTTGTTTTGATTGAATAAACCGATACTCTGTAAAGAAGCAAGCAAGACCACATTAATGTGCGATGTGCACAGCCAATCACGAGTATCCAAATTCTTCTTATTTCTTCTTTGTATTACCTGATTCGATTGTGTTGAACCAAATGGAGGCGCGAAACCAGTATTTTGAGCCGCATTAATACTGCCGAAACCTGCACCAGCAGTTTGGTTAGTATTGTTGGTTGCGAAGAGCGGCGTTGGAGCTGCTGCTGTAGATAAAACTATTTGTACTTTGTTAATATGAACAGCCTATGTATGCGCATTTCTGCATACGGATATACTGTTTATGAAGCGGTGTTAAGTGTTATCGGTCATGAATTAACACATTATCGATGTTATCGTACTTAAAAAGAAGTTAATACTTACTACCGAAAGGTTTGTTCTGGGTATTACTACCAAATAAATTTGTGTTTGGAGTAGAATTGAAAGCAAAATTGTTCGTTGTCGTCGTCGACGGTGTACCGAAATTTGTCATGGGCTTTGCAAACAAACCGCCCGAGCCAGATTGAGTAGTTGCTCCAAAACCTCCGCTCATACCAAAACCTAATTTAAAATGTACAAGAAAAGGCATTCTAAAGAAGAAGAAAAAGATGTAGATTGTTCATAATTTGAAGACCAGACTTCAAATATTGAATCACTCTATCGTTACGAGATGCAATATTTAACAAATATACAATAACTAGTTTGCGTTAGAATAGTTTACCCGTTGTCGCAGTACTAGTACCTGCCCCCGCATTGCCAAAAGGTGAAGGCTGTGCTGGTGCACCAAAAATTCCTGTACTGGGTCCTAAACGGTAAAGAAGTAAATGCACAAATAAGCAGATAATATCATGTAAATAAACGTTAATTAGATATTACTGTAAAAATACTAATAACACTTATAATGTATCTCATTATCTTGTTATAGCAGAAAATATCTTTATCCGATAAACTTTTTGTAGCGTGGAATTACCTTTTCGTCCCACGGAATAGTCCTCAAAACGTAACTCCTCGTAAGATTTTGATTCGTATTCTCTCATTGACGCGATGCAACAATGTCTCGCCGATATAGTATGAGATACACCATTTTTCGACATAGAATCAGTTGTAATGACGGGAGTAAATTTAACAACGGTACCAGTCATAGCTGTGGTCGTGGTATTTGTACTGCCGAAAGCTGAAACAGAAAAGAAGGCAAGTATTAAAAGCACAGATGCGTCTTTTTTTCCTTCCATCTGTAACACAGGTAAATATCATATGTCACGGTACGATACGATATTTACCAGGCGTTGTACCAAATAAATTGGTGTTTCCAGCGGTACTACTTTGTCCAAAAGGTGTGGTTTGTTGAGGTGATTGTTGAGGTTGCCCAAATAAGTTAGTTCCAGATGTAGCACCAAAGCTAAATGCAGCTGGTTTATTTGATTGTCCAAATGCTGAGGTTGCAGTGCTTGTACCAAACAGATTTGTACCTGCATTCTGCTGACTACCAAACAGATTGGTGTTTGTATTTGTTGTACCAAAACCTGTAAGTTGAAGGAAGAAAATGAATCTATGGTACTTAATACCTGCTGTAACATGTAATATGTAATACATATCATGGAATTAACTTAACTCTATCGACATTTCCAAAGTTTTACTATTGAATACAATCATCAAAAAAAGGAAAAAAAAAAACGACCACCTGCTCTCTAATATCCTTGTTCGCTTAAAATGTTCGATTAATTTCAAAACTGATAGAAAAATGCAAAGGTAGCAAACTTTAAACTCCTGCTACTTCCATTATATTAAATGAAAAATTTAACGTTTCAATGTGAAACAAATCGTTGCTATCAAATCATCGTCTTGTAAACGCGACAAATATTCGTACGAATAAATGTTGCAAAGTTATGACCAATAAAATGGTCTATGAATTGCTACCTCCAAAAGATGGCTGAGTAAATGCAGGCGGAGTGGTAGTATTACTGAATAAGCCACCAGTGGTAGAGCCTGCAGGCTTTGAACTAAATAGAGAAGTATTACTACTACCAAAGACTGGTGCAGCACCAGTGCCAAAGCTTGTTGTGGTAATTGGTTTACCAAATGCAGATTGCCCAAATGGACTGGATTGCGTTGCCGTATTGAAACCACCTGTAATTATTTACAAGTTGGCAAACAATTTAGAAACATACACTTATTAGGTGAAAAAATAAAGTAAGAAAGATATGTTAACTACTGATAAAATTTCACATTTTACTTACTGAACGACGTATTTCCAGATTGCCCAAACATGCTTACTACAATGGCTTCAATTTACTTTCAATACTTATTGCCACCTACAATATAATAATATATAAAATAGTTGAAAACAAAGATTTCGAATTAAGAAATATTTTTTAAATTAATCAACATATAAAACAACGCGCAAACCAAGTATTAAATTATCGCGATCCATAAACAAAAATGAGACGAAGAGAAAAAGAATACTTATATTAATGCGTGATAATAATGATTTTTTTTCCCCCTTAGAACGTTAGGAAAGTTACCGTTAAGACGCGATGAATAGGCGCGAATTGTCTTTCACTAATTGCAGACAATTGTCAGAACTTCTATATGAATATTAAAATGGTTCGTTACATTTTTACGAAACGTTCGTCCTTCGCAACATTCACTCTACGAAATTTCTTTTCTATACAAATTACTTGATAAAGAGGTTACGTAAATGAAAATTTTGGACGTGAATACCTGAAAATTTAACAAATAAGATAACATAAGAAATAATAATTTATCGACTTGCACAATTCGTTCTGTTACACTACCAATTTCTAATTACGTACAATTACTGGAAAAAATACGTACACATCACATACGCGTAATATACGTCGTAGAATTACAACCCTCGAAAGTCGATCGATAGTATAGCGACGATATTGTAAATTTGGTATACCAATAAATCGGTAACTATCAGGGTAGGCAAGGCAAAAAAGACAAAAGCACTGCAATTGATAAGTCATGTTTCATTGGTTGATTTATATTTAGAGATTCTTTTTCTTAAACTGCAATTGCAATTACAAATAAAGATGCCTAGAAGATTTTTTAATTCGAATACAAATAGGGAGTTTTATTATACACTTACGTTTTCATCTGATATAACAAAATACTTATATCATATTGTTGTATGATTTATTAAATTAAGTATACATACATTGAAAAGTAAATAATGAAAAATAATGAGAAAATTGAAAAATTTACTGCACCACTGAATTCGATCGGTATGAGATCCAATAGAAAAACAGACTAATTTCACTGTGATACACACGTACGTAAATATACGTATAAATAGATGGGTAGAATGCATTTGCAGAAATAATGGCTGACTAGTGCTGTTATCGCACACAGAGAGAAGCGATTGTATGGACTTTAATTTAGTGATTCGAGTCAAGAAAATTACGTTTTATAATAAAATAAACAACAGATGTTGACATCAAATTATATGATTTCAACTGATAAAAGTTAAATACTTAAACAAGTTAACCAGTTAGCCTGCATTTAGAAACATTGATAATTCGGATTGGGATAAAATTTACAGTTGCATGTACGGATGTAAAAATGAAGGGGAAAAAATCATAGGACAAAGACGTTTATCGTGTAGTAGTTTTATTTATCATGCGACTTTTTATTAAGCGGTTCAATGAAATCGTATTGTTTGAAGGAGAAAGGATAAATTCGGTCGCAATGCGACTTGCACGATACATTTCGTGTTTCTTCTTCAGTTAACTACATTTGAGCTACTCTCCTCTGTAATTCATTGATTTTTTTCTACATACTGTCGCAAAATATTTGGTACATCATGGTACATATACCAAGTGCTTATACTTACAATTTTTGGGCAATATCACCCACAGAAGTTGTTGAACTGACATGTTTAATGCCAAATGGGGTCGTTATACCCTTTGAGACTAATCGCAATATCACCTTGGCTGAAATTAAGGAGGTGAGTTAAAATTGAATAAAATAAGACTTAAATTACTTTCATAACCAGTTGATATGAAAGAAAAGTTGATTTTGAGAAATGTCAATGTAATATTTATATAGGATCTCTGGGATGAAGCCAGCAAGTATCCTCTTCATGGTACGTTAAAAGATGCTCCGTCCTATGTATTTTCATGTGTCAACTCCAATGCAGAATCTGAAGAATTACGAGATGAAACGAGGCGTTTGTGTGACATAAAACCATTTTTTTCTGTGCTCAAAGTCATAGAACGTGAAGGTGTTAAAAGTGATAGAAATTTAGATTCTCAAATTGGTCTCCTAATTGGTAAAGGATTACATGAGTTTGCAGCATTAAGGAATTCTGAGGTAAATGACTTCAGATGGAAGATGCGAGTTTTAGGAGATGAAGTTGCAATGGAAAGGCAAAAGAAATCTTGGATGGAAAAAGTACGTTACCAGTTTCCTACGCGATTAGCTCCAACTGCCACAATACCAAAAAATATTGAATGTCGATTAAAAGATGGGAATATAGTTCTTGTTACTAGATTTGAAAATACAGAGGTAAGATGATAGTTCATTACTTTTATTTCATTATCGCTTGCACATATAAAAATAGAAATGTTTCTTTACATTGAACAAAAAAACAATATATAAAAAGTGTATCGTTAACCATTGACATCACCTGATATGAAAACAACAAGATATTTACAATCCATTTAATCAAGCCATTTTTGAAAGTTGTCAGGTTCTTTGAAAATATTATGTTCCGTATCATCTACGTCTTGTGCAACACAGACTTGAGCCTTTTGAAATCAAATAATGATTATATAAAGTAACTCTTATTTATGTAATTATTTAACAATAAGATAAAAATAATTACCTCGAATGAGGAAGCTTTGTTTTGCCAGTATTGTAATTCTTTGGTAATATTAATTTTTATTTCTTCCTCTAACAACAATTTTGTACAAAGATCTTCGACTTGTATGTGGAGTTTCTGCATTTCTTTCCTTTTAGCATCTAACAGAGTCTGAAAGTATCTGTGATGTTGGGAAAGGGACCGAAAACAAAAAAAAGCAAGAAATACAGGGGAAAATAGAGTAATACGTATGTATTTGTGTGACACATTGATAAATGTATATGTCGATCTTGTACCTGAAAGAACCGTCAATACAATTACATTGTTTCGAATCGTCATTCTTCTTGATCTCTGATATCAATTTATTCTCAAGGTCTGATACTCTGCTTTTATATTTTTGAATTAACTGTTCGTGTTTTGCCAAGGTACCATCTACACTATTTTCCCACTTTGTAAGTGTTGCAACACGTTCTGCTCTTAACATTTTGATTTCTGCCATTTGCGATTTACATACGCGTTTTGCTTCCATATACTTGTCACGTAATTCATTCATCTTGGTCACTATATTCTGTCGACGATCTTCCACTTCGGCAAAGAGTGAATTACCTGTAAAGAAAAAGAGTAAAAACTTGTCCGAAAATAGTTGAATCGATCAATACTTACCTTTACGGGATTCATGTGCAGGATCGGCCTCCGAGGATACAGCCACTGTCTCGGCCCGTAACAAAGTAATTTCTGCACGGACATCCTCTAAGGCTTGGTTTTTTTCATCGTACTGTTGTTTAGTGCTCTGTTTAAAAAAGGAGCATTTTACATTTGACGTTTGTAGGATGATCGACAATATAGTTGATGTTTTAAAAAGGAAATAGGCGAACTATATAATCCTCACTCGATAATAACGTTCAAGTTCATCGCATCGAGTTTTCAATTCTTCGATCGTTTGTTCTGCGTGTCCGTATTTTTTTCTCTCATCCGTTAGATTCGATAAAAGCTGATCAATACGATTCTTTAATAAGATATTGTCTGCCTCGATGGAAAGATTCAAGGATTGATTTGCGATAACGACGTGTTCAGTTTCTACGCATTGACCAGCAGCTCGTTGCAGCCGCAATTCTTCAATTTCTTTGGTTTGTCGTGCTAATTCCGTTTCAAAATTTGAGATTATGTTATCATACTTTTTCGTGAGATTGCGATGCCTGAAAAGAAAGAGAAGAATGAAGAGGAAGATAATAGCAAAACGGCGAACGAAATCTATTTCGAAAGGTTGATTATTACTTTTCTTCGATAATTGTTTCTTTCTCCAAAACTCGTCGATCAAGAGAACGTTCAAGTAGTTCGTTTGCTTCTTGAACCTCTTGTAGCATCGCTTCATTTAATTGAAGTTTTCGTTTCAAGTCATAAATTTCTTGTCGACATCTTTCGTATTCGACTTTTAATAGATTGTAAGAATAATCACTGACTCGTTCCGAATCGGCGGTTTCCTTGCTTATCGAATCCCGTATCGACATATTTGAAGGTTATGTTTCGTTGTATACACGTCGTATGTATATTAAGAAATTAAAAGGACTAGCGAGAAGAAGGTTACGGAACAAATCGACGTAAGTATGTACACACGTATATCTTATACGGTGTTTCTGTCGATTGTACAGTAAAGACTATGAGTTCGAAATTGGGGTCCGCTGCAAAACAGTTACAGGATAGGTACTAATTCCTCCAAACTTTTGTATTTTACCGACACCGACGGACGTAGAAAGAGACAGCGGACAAAGAAGAGAGAGGTATTGAAAGTCGAGAAAGTTGTAAAAAATTAAATGCCTACATATCGATGAGACAACATCAATACAAAAAAAAAACTTTCTTATTTTTGGTGTTTTGTTGATAAAAATTTTACCAACGATGTTAAAATATCGATGATATTTTTCTGATTAAAATGAGACCAAATATGGTACAATTCGGTTTACATTTAGTTACTTAACACATTAACATCGGGGCGTTTAGAGTCGCGCTTGACATGAGTACAGAACGATTTCGGGTCTTTTCTTTTAATCGCGTTACGCTTGAAGAAACTGCTGTATCTTTTTAACTAATTAATATTTCACAAAAGAATTTTGGGGAAAGATATAAATTACTTTTTTGCATAAAAATTTATATTTTTTAACATGCAACTATTAGGGGTTCTCAACCTTTTTATTATTTGATAAAAAATAAAAATTGATTATTCTTCTTACAATAACATATTATCAAAGTTAATATCTTTTCTTCGTATGATACGTTTGAAAATAATTGCCAAGGTGTAGAGGAACATTACAGTATTTACACATATAAGAAGTCTGAACGTGTGTGTGTGAATAACAGACACGACACCTTTTTCTGATAATCGCCCAAACGTCGAGTTCGTACCTTATCGCTCTAACGTATACACAGTTTCGGTATCAATCATCGCGAAATATAGCAGAAAGTTAAACCCATAAACAATTTTTTCAATTCGTGGAACATCTAAAGGTGCGTCCTAACCACAGTTCGCGAACAATATAGAAATCAAATTTTCTAGAAATCATGTGTTCATATACTGTTCGCGAACTGTTCGTGATGCAGAGTAAAAAGGGACGTTCTCATCGGCGAACATTCCACGAACACTGTTCGCAGATAGTTCATAACCACCACGTAATTTTTTCGCAACATGTAAAAAATTCATATTTACAGTGAGATTTTTCTCATTGGTAAGATTTTTCTGATTAGAATAAGATCAATCACAATATAGTTTGAATCAGTTATAATTAATTACAAGCGACTAGAATGAAATAAAATTTTTTGTAGACTTCTTTTCGCGACCTGTGTACGAGCAGTTCATCGTGCACTGTTCAGTTCGTGAACAGTTTGCAAACAGTATCCGAGCTAGACACGATCGACTTTGCTATCATCTGTCCTGTGACTGTGCGAACAGTTTGTCGTGTGTTCGCGCATGGAACGGTAACTTCAGAGAATAAAAGAGAGAAGTATATCCAAAGTATTGAGGGATGAGAGTCGTCGGCGTGGTCACAGGTTAAAATTAAAAATCCAAAAAATACATTGCCGTCTATTTTGGCCCATAATTTTCACACCCCAAATTTCATGAAAATAGATTAACATTTTACAAGGAAAATTTAAAAAAATGGTTATTTTTAATATATTGTTTAAATGAATGAAGTTATTTAAAAATTGTTCAGATGGTTGAATTTTTACTTCAAGTCGTTTAATTTTCAAGATATTTCAAAAATATTTGAGGGATGTTTTCACCCCTTCAGTATAGATAATTACCAATAAAAGAACATTTGTGGAATGTGTTAATCAAAGGTCATTCAACCGTTAATTAACAACACCATCGTTTTTTTAATTTGGTATTTTTTTCCAAACTTTATTTTAATGCAGGGACTTCTACCGAAACTTAAAATATCGGCATTTTTCGGTTATATCTTTAAAACCTTTATAGAAACTGAACTATGACGTCATACCGGTATATGAAAATACTGATATATTTACCTATAATTTTTTCGATTTTCTTATTTTACACAATTTTTAAAACATTTTTAGACAAGGATTTAAAACCGATATTGCGAAACCAACATAAATGATACTGATATTGCTGTAGTACAATTTATTAATCATTGTTATTTGTTTATTATTACATTGTTAGTCTACTGTTTGTTGCGACCTCCTGGTCACGCAATGAATCCTCGGTTTAGCGGATTATCGCAATAAAATGTGTTAGTCACCATAGACCCCCCGTGGACGAACCAGCGCTGCAACCAAATAATTGACTTTTTCGTAAACAAACGAAAACACTCATCGAACAAAGGCAGAAGAAAGTTCCAGCCATAAAGGATACCGTTATTGGGGATCGAATTTGTTAACAACATCTTTTTACAAGTCTTAATTTTTCAAAAGTAGCGAGTGTATAACAAACACAAGCAACGAACTGATTCCTCTCAAAAAACTGAAGAAACTGATAGATTGCTGTTCGGGAACTGTTCCTGAACTGTTACACGAGCAATGTTCGGTAAAAGATCGTATAACAGTTACAAACGGTTTGCGAACAGTGTTCGTGAACTGTTCGTTGGTGTGGAGACACCTTAGGCTGGGGGCACACGAGCGTTGAAATGACGTCCGTTGTAGAAATACATACATTGTCGTATATCTGGTAGAGCTCGCACACCGAACGTGCGTCACTTTTAACGGACGGTGCAACGTGCGTTAATTTTTCTTCCACGTACAGTTACTCCCACTCGTATTCGTACACCATACGGACATTTAGCATAAATAAAAAAAACATTTTTCTTAGGGATAATTTTTTCTTTATGTTCAGCAGAATTCATTATTACACTATCTTACATTTATTTACAAAGCAGTTTTATTTTTCATTACTTAGAAATACAATAAATATAAAAAGAATGTGACGCTCCATAAAAACCATGTCTCAGTCGTATTCGTACAGCCAACAAACAAACAATAATATGCATCCTAGAAAATGTTTATACATACTATATCTGGGATTTTCCGTATATTGTGCACGAAATAAAAGACAATCAGCAGTTATTTTTTTTGTCTAAACAAAATAGAAATCAATAGCATTCAGGATATTAACAGGCAAAATGAGTAGAAAAGGTAAAGAAACATCAATTGAGTTAAGAAAACTGATTGTAAGTCGTCATGAAAATTGGAAAAGTTT